ACCTATGAATAACACCTTTCCGATGTAGATAGTCGAGTGCAAGGGCAATTTCCGCTACATAGAATTGTGCCTCATGTCTTTCGAGTATCTGTTTAATGCAGAGAAACGACATTAGATCTCCTCCGATCATGTATTCCATCACTAGATATATCTCATCTTTTGTTTGTAAGGAATAGAATAGCCGAACAACATATTGACTATGCATGGTAGCTAGAGCATCACGTTCATTGAGAACTAATACAAAGAAAACCTGATTGTAAGACACTTGAAGTATGCAGTTTCCTTACTTTGATCAATCAAGTTCTTTTTTCGTATATCATGTTTGTTGATAACTTTAATCGCGTATTTCGTCTCATTTTCATCATTTTTCTTTGTAGCCAGATAAACTCGGCTGAATAAAAAAACAAAAGAACTGATTTTTTTCATATACATTGTGCAGATAAGATCGACTAACCCGTAACCACCACGGCTGATCGTTTTTAGAAAATGAAAATCTTTGATAGTTGGAAGCTGTAACAAATCAAAGCGAAATGTGAATTATTTGGACAAAAAAAAGATTCCATAACGTACCTGAAGTTTGCTCTTTTCGATGGTCATTAGTAAGAAAGAGGAAAACGAGATGTTGATCTGAAAAAAAAGTTGAACATGTGTAAACCGTTAGAAATAAGAATGTTTCCCTCCAATCGAGAACAAAATGACCAAACAAAGGAAAGTTTGCATTCTTCTTTTTGCCTAGATGTCGCCCAAGCGTAATGTCCGAACAATCGTCAATGAAAACAGTATGTGTTATTCTTGAAGATTAACAGAATTCAATGGCCCTATTCGCATATCAGCGGGAATATATATATATATATTTAAGAAAATATAAATGACATTGCATGTGATTACTATGTTACATATTTGGCAATAGTTACATTTTCCGCAAAATATGAATTGAAGATTATTTTAAAATATCTACAACATTGTTATTCTTGTTCTTTGATTTGCTGTAACATGATCTCCTGCTGACTACGTAGAAGACGCTTTTTCGCTTGTTCACGCGCACTTGTGTAACTGAAGTCTTCGATTGTATCATCGTACAAGACAGCATAGTCAATATCTTTGCTATCACTTGTGCTAGTTTCTTCTTCAAATTCACTGGTCGACGTGGTCTCTTTCTCTTGGAATTCTTCTTCTTCTGATGATGATGATGATGATGAACTATCGGCATGGTGTCCTTTCAAGGAAGGCTTTGATGATGTATGTGACGAAAATGATCGACGAAGCTGTTCGCATGAGTTGTGCTCAGATGAAGCTGCCAGAACAATAGGTGTGACATGCTCTAAAGAAAACGAATAGAACAATTCGAATAAGAAAATCTTCTCACTCACCTAGGTTCAATACAAGTGATCGCTGTCGTTCGCGTTTCTTTTGTATGGGTTCGTTCTCCAGATCGATTGCTGGACTATCCACAGGTATACTTTCGTCGCTAACGGTCGTTTCCGAAGTCGCTTTAGTTCTTAACGTAGTGGCCGATTTCGCTTCGGATAAAACTTTTTTAGTAGCAACAGCTGCGGCTTTGATGATTTCTTTGTGATTGTCTTGATTGAGCGCTTTGATCGACATTTGCTCAAGTTTTTCTAGTGCTGCCTTTTGTCGTTTTGTTAAATTCGTACCGGCCACTGTCTCATTAGAAGCAATTGTAACCGATTTCTTCCTGTCCGATGAATGACGACGAGTTTCTTTCCTCTTATAATCAATGATATAAATCCGGATTTCATATGGATGAAATTTGAAAGACACTTGATCCTGAAGTGAACCAATATTACGATGAAATATCAGCGATTTCCGATAACTTCTTACCTGATGTTCGGGTATCGGCTCAATCAAATTCGAAAGCACTAATTGTGACGATGATAAACCTTGAAACAGCGTAAACTGTGCCACACGATCGGTTAAGTTTGTTAGAACGTAAGCGCGTTTTGTATCCGATGTTCGTGTGTACCCATAGACTTGCTGGTGGCTTGAAAGAATCAAATCATAGACCCCGTATACGAAGACATCGTTTTCTTTTCGTAAACGGATCAGACGTTTATAAAAATTCAATACTGAATTTTCATCTTTTTCCTGCTGAGCGACATTTATTCGTACGTAATTTGGATTGATACCAATCCAGGACTGTTGAGCTGTGGTGAATCCAGCGTTTAGTGAATCATCCCATTGCATAGGCGTACGAGCATTGTCACGGCCAGTGATATAGATAATCTGCATGATTTCGTTATGATCGATACCTTTCGCTAATTCAAGATTGTAAAAACTTTTAGCGGCCACGTCGGGATAATCATTAATTGATGGGAAACGTACATTAGTCATGCCGATTTCTTGTCCTGCAATACTGATATTTAGAAGAAACAAACGAGAAAGTTAAAAGTCTTTTGCAAACCTTGATAAATGAAGGGTGTTCCCATCATAAGCATATAGAAAGTGGCAAAAGCAGTTGCGCATTCTCGCCAATATTCTTTATCATTGCCCCATGTCGAAACTATTCGTGGTTTATCATGGTTTTCAATGAACAGGGCATTCCAGCCATTTTTTTCCAAGGCTTTTTCCCATCGAGTCATAATACGTTTCAATGCAAGCACTAAAATTCTCCTTTCGTTCATATTCTCTTCTCTGATTATTTCGGTCATCTTACCGTCTAAAGTGCCCAATGTTTTTTCCCAGAGATTAGTACCTTCAAATTGAAATATCATATTAAATAGACCATTTTCTTCGTCTACCCAATCGATTGCTTGATCTGCGCCAACACCATTTGCTTCACCCACACTGACCACATCGTATTTACCATATGTACCACTTTTAAATTCACGCAAGTGCTCTTCGATACCTTCAACATTCATATGATAATCAAACGAGGAGACAAATTCCAGATGTTTTGGATTGGGTAAGTCAGGCAATCCAGGTTTTTTCTTGATGTGTGACACAGCATCAATACGGAATCCATCGATCCCTAAGACGGAATCGAGATTTATATTTCATAGGTCGATCGTGTGTGTTTACCTCGTTCAAGCCACCAACAAGTAACATTATACAATTCTTCTCGTAGTTCTTTACATTCCCAATTAAGATCGGGCATTTTGCGTGAAAATAAATGTAAATAGTATTGGTCTGTTTCTTTGTCGTATTCCCAAGCGGAGCCATTGAAAATACTTTCCCAATTGTTCGGACGCAAACCACCCGATTTACCATCTCGCCATATATACCAATCACGTTTCGGGCTCGTACGGGACGATCGAGATTCAATAAACCAGGGATGTTCACTAGAACAGCTCAATGTTTAAACAATTTCTTTCTTCATTTTATACATGCACTTACTCGCTAGTATGGTTCATGACCAGATCAAGAATAATGCGCATCTTTCTTTCATGTACATTTTGAATAAGTCTATCGACATCTTCCATTGTACCAAAAACATCCATTATTTGTTTATAATCAGATATATCGTATCCATTGTCCTTAAAAAACGAAAAGAGTATCACCGTGTGTTTGCTATCCAGAAAGAAAGACAAAATATTCGCACATCATTTGGGCTCTTATAAATCGGACAAATCCAGATGAGATCAGCGCCGAGATTTTTAATATGATCCAGTCTTTGTATAATCCCTAAAATAACAACGAATTAGAAATTCTACTTTCACGAAGTGTCAACTAGGAAAATCTACCTCCGATGTCGCCGATTCCATCGCCATTGGAATCTTGAAATGATCGTGGATATATTTGATATGCAATAGATTCTTTCCACCATTGACGTCGAAGTTTGGTCTTGGGAAAAAATGACGATTTTCCGAGTTTTACTTCGCACCCGTCAATTGCTGTAGGAATCGGTTCATCTACAGTCGGACTTCCAATGACATCGGGCATCGTACTAATCTATTATGATAAGAAGAAAAGAAAACAATGATCTCATTGGTTTAATGATATATTGTCACATGTAATACGATCCTTCATTTTATTCATTTGTCATGATGCTTAAGAAGTAGATGATATCATGCATGAATGTTTATTCATCGTTCATACAAATGACAATCGATATCGCCATTCATAATCAATTTCAATCAAATATTCATTATCAAAGAGTTTTCTCTTCCCAACAATTTAGATATACATGAAATGCGTACAATGACTAAATTCACAGAAGAATTTCTCCGAATCTTTGTTGAACAGACAAAGACATTTCTCTATCAGTTAAAGCCGCAGATGGCGGCACATCGAATATCGACGATGATTCTTCTTTCTTTCTATATACTTTGTGTATGGTTGGAGAATACTTCTAACCATTGAAAAGATGTGTCATTGACCGCCGTCTATTTCTTAATATTATTTTCTAAATCTAAATCCAAGTAAATTATTGTCGAAATAAAAATGCTTTCGGCAGAAGATTGATGAGAAAATGAAAAAAAAGCAACGAATGGAAATTTTTTCACCATACGAACATCGTTTGCTCGTTCATTGAATCACGAGTGATCAATGGCTCATCAGCTGTTTATTGTTCGAAGGAAGAAGAAGAAATCATGATATGCGGTTTTTTTTCTGAAGATATAGAAATTTATCGAATAAAAACCTTGATTTGGTATTCTTTAGATATTTCATTCATATTTTATCTTTAGACTTGGTTTTTCTTACTACACAACGAATTGCAAAGCTTTCCATTCGATATTTCGTGTATATATATATATATATCGATCTATTTATCCGAATACGACGTGCGTTTGTTTTCTCTCTTTTTTCTCTCTCTCTCTCTTCATCTCTCTGTGTCACGCCGTCGCCAAGTTTTCGTCTTCTAACCGTTTCCGTATGAGTCATTCTTCGTTACCCTCCTCGCAATACTGGCCTCATCAAGCTCGGACGAAGACGTCGCCGGGTGTCCACCACCCAAGCGCGCTCGCTTGAATCCTGCGACAACTGCTACTACTAAAACGACTCGTTCAACTCGGAAAAAAGATTCAACTTACCGACAGACAATGAATATATCTGGTCAACAACAGCCATCATCATCATCATCGAATGATCATATGACAACAGCAGCGTCAGTTCCTCTTCCATTAACACCTGATGTTCTGGATACCAACAATTCAGATAGACTTAAACATCAAAGTCAACGCCTAGTTCAACACTTGAATGGGCTAACATCTACCACAATGACATCTACTTCATCGACAAATGTCTCGAATGCCAACCTATCAAGTAGCAATGGGCATGAAGCAACTTCGTCAAACGGAAGTAATTCTCATTCGCGTAATCGTCTGACATCATCATCGACTCAAACACTTCTCACCGGCTCATCTTATCCATCCAATAATGGAAATCTAAATGTTCCAAGAATATTTACCAACAGCCAAAAAGAAGTTTTAAGGCTCATCGGTCAGCATTTACAAAGCGTTGGGCTAAAGTAAACGCATTCATCTACAAACGAAAATTGAAACAAACCGAAACTTTCATATTTCTAGTAAAACAGTTGATTTTCTTATTCAAGAAAGTGGTTGTGTATTAGAACATGAACAAGCATCAAATTTTCGAGAATTAATCATGTCTGGAAAATGGACTGAAGTAAGTGATAAGGTTTTCTTCGTATACATACTCAGTATAACTTTTGCATACTTCTAGGCTCTTGTGGCACTTGAAAAACTTAAGCAATATATTGAAGAACGTGATGGTATTCAAGTACGTTCATTCTTAACGAGAAACAACATATGGGAGTTCATCTTTGTATACGTTTCTAGCAAATGAAATATTTGATCTTGGAACAGAAATATTTTGAATTAATCGAAGATAATCGTTCAATGGATGCGCTGCAATGTTTACGAAATGAAATTCAAGGATTGAAGATTCGTATTGAACGAACACATGAATTAACAACGTATGACAATTGTCTACTAATATAAAACCATTTCCTTTTGTTTGCCTAGATTTCTAATGTTCAATTCCATGAAAGATATGTACAGAGCATCGAACTGGAGCGGTAAAGGTTTTGCGTCTCGGCAAAATCTCATGGAAAAACTACAAAGTAGATCCTACATTTTTTGTTTGAAATCATTCAACATAAAATGGCTTCTGTTTAGAATATCTTCCACCTGATATCATGTTACCTCCGAAACGACTCGAAACACTTCTGTCTCAAGCTGTTGAATTACAACAAGAGCGATGTACATATCATGTTAAGCCAGGAAAACTGAAATTGGATGATGTTTCATTGCTTAAAGATCATGCATGTACTAAGTACGTACACAAATCACTAGAATTTTTTTCGTTAAATCTAATTCGATCTTTCTAACTCGATCAGTTCATTGATCCGTTACGAAGTATGTATGTGTGTGTGTTCAGAAGAGATCAGAGATGAAACCAGTCTGAATTTTTCGACGACGAAAAGTGGTAATCATTCATAGATGTTCAGTATTACTAGAATTATTGATACTGACATCTATATTTACTGTAACATTTGCACACCTCAAGCACATTTTGTCGTAGTGAGTGTCAGTACACTGAATACACTTTTGCGGTGCTCGATAAAATGTAACTGCACACCTTACAGTGTATCATATCAAGTCATATGATGTTCCGAGAGCCTCACAATAACAAGATGTTCATGTATATATAGTTGAAATACTAATCAGCATGTCTATAGAAAGGCGAGGTGATGGTGAGCCGTATATACAAAGTTGATATGATAGGAATTTTGACAACAGCCGAGTTAAGTTTGAAGATGGGCTGTAAATTACTGGATGAAAGTCTATCTATGCATTGATTGGGATATTTTCTTTAGGCAAACGTTTCCTTGTGTGACGATACAAACATTAACAGATCATTCAGATGAAGTATGGTTTTGTAAATTTTCTCCCGATGGTACTAAACTTGCAACTGGCTCAAAAGATGGATGTTTACAAGTCTACGATGTGGACATGGTGAGTTGATCAAACTGAAACTAGCCAGAATACCAGTTTTCACATTAAATATCTTTTAGCAAACATACAAAATGAAATTACGCAAACAATTCGAAGGACATTCGTTTGGAATTGGTTGTATCGCATGGTGTCCATTCAGTCGCTACATCATCGCATGTGGAACGGATGAATGCAACGAAATATGGATTTGGGACGTCGAGGTGAATTTGTAACACAAACAACAAAGTACATATATTCATGAAAACTCTCGTCTGTTTAGCAAGAAGAACAACGAGCACGTATGAATCATTCATCCGAAGATAGCCTTACTTGTGCGGCATGGTTACCATGTGGTCAAAGATTTGTTTGCGGAGGATCACGTGGACAATTCTATTATTGTGTATGTGAACGAAAAAGGTGAACTAAGTGGTCGATTGAAGCTTATATTTCTAGGATATTGACGGAAATGTTATCGACAGTTGGGAGGGTGTTCGTCTACAGTGCTTACATGTTACAAGTGATGGAATTGTTCTAGCAGCTGATGCACAAAAACGTATTAGTTCTTATAAATTCGATAGTTTAACTGATCAACAAATGTATGTTCGCTGACATTTCCAGTAATAGAAAAAAGAATTTTGATGTGTTTAGTATTCACGAAGATCATCCCATTATGTCATTTACAGCTAGTAAGGATGGCCGATTAGGACTTCTTAACATTGCCACACAGGTAGAGATTTGAATTCGAGAAGAAAAACTTGGTAGCAAAATAAGATTTTTTTTGTAGGGTGTCCATCTCTGGGATTTACATGATAAACAATTAGTTCGTAAATATCAGGGTGTAACACAAGGTCATTATGTGAACCATGCCACATTCGGCGGACCTAATGAAGAATTTATTGCCAGTGGCAGTGAAGGTTAATATTATAATTTGATGCGTTCGGAGAATTATCTTTCTTTCTCTCATAGATTCGAAAGTCTATTTGTGGCATCGTCGACAAGAACGTCCAATCATGACCTTTTCAGGCCATACACGTACTGTAAATTGTGTTACATGGCATCCAACATTGCCATTACTTTTTGCATCAGCATCTGACGATGCTACAGTTCGCATTTGGTCTACACCTGAACATCAAATGAAAACTGGTTTGTTTAGATAAACAGTTCAATGCTAAATTTCTCTGTCCTCTCTTTTAGAATCATTGTCGAGCAATGAATCATCAACTTGATAAGATTTATTTATTTATCTTCAATGCTCATTTTCTGTTTGTACATGGACTTTAACATAAACTCGTCTTATTCTTAGTTCTGATTGTCTTTACGCGCTACATCACTCTGTTCATTTGGCGTTGTTACTTATATGCACACATATACACGTACATGTTTTGTTTTCGTCTTTTTATCGCATTGTATGGGTTAAACATATTGGAAAATCTGTTTTCTTTTTTTCGCTCTATCCTTGTTTATAAATATATATGTATGTATGTATATGTGTGTGTGAAACAAAAAAATTCTTTGATGCAGATCTTCTCTATATTGAAAAAAAAACACAAACAAGTTTTGAATTTCTTTCTTTTTCGATACGCCATACTATTTGATTTCTCCTATTTCGCTAACGTATTTTGTATACACGTAAAACACTTCCTTTTGTTTTGGTTCTCTTTGCTTTTTTTTAAATACTTTATTCGTGCTGTGCTGTTTCTTTGAATACGTATGCATAAAGACATGAAGAACATTGAATGACTCTTTTAACGAATCATAATTTGTATTCGATGCTCGTTGTAAGCCGTTTCCTTAGAAAGAACAGTCATGTTTCTATGAGAGAAAGATCTCGGTACATCTCTTTTCTTCATCACCATCTCGAATTAGACTAACACAATGCCTAGAATCCTAAGAAAGTGCTGAAGAACAAGATCGAATGCATTAGTTAATGTCATCAACAAGATTTATTATACGTTAACTGTAAGACTTATTGTAACCGATAGTAAATACATATGAATGTCCGGGTTGATTTAATGTGTTTTGCAAACAAAAACAAGCGATATTAGAATAGTGTATCACATGTAAAAGAAATTATTCAAGATGAAACAATAATGTCGTATGCTTTTATATTCGATGGTAACTTACTAATCGAAAGACGATTTTGAAGAAATAATAGGGACACAGAACATATATATCTGCTGTTGACAAGAATAGTTATACTAATAGCAGCTGTTATATGTTGTCGATGTTATTTTATAATACATTATCACCAATAGATTGTTGTCGAATCGAACAGACTCGGAATATCCAAATCAGAAGCAGCAATCTAAATGGGTTAAGTAAGTGCGAGATTGTCAATCTTGTCGTTATTATATTCGACAAGGAAAGTTTTTTTCAAGGTACAAAAAAAAACTTGAGAGAGAAGTTTGACACTATGGCATTATTTTCATATCATTAGAATAATTACGGAATAAACAGATTCGCAAACTGATCTAACTTTGTTTCTTCAGTTAGTAAATTAAAGATACATCAGCTTTGTAGTTCATACTGTGAGATAGTTATGTGTGTCTGTTTGAGTGTTCGATGATTATTTTGATGATACCAGGTGGTGCGCTTCTTCGATATTTGTCAAGGACATTGTTTTGTCAGTGTATGACGATGATTGCATACATATGTCTATGAGTGTATTTATTCAGTTTTGACTTGATTATGTCAAAAGAAAGATGCCTCGAACTTTCTTTCATCGATCATTGTGTTCTTTTTTTTTCTAAATCAATGGAAACGTATGTGACGATTGATCTGAAAATCGATTTTTCTTACTTATTAATATCAAGGATAACGATGACTGTCTTAGACAAACATGTGATATTATCCCAATAATCAGTATGACGATCATTAATCGCTTGTGCGTCATTACTCTATCTTCAGATGAAACAGAGCTTGAAAAACGAGGGATCTTGATGCGTAAGAAAATGTCGATTTCCACATATTTTTTTTGACGAATGTAAAAGGGATTAGTGAGAAGAAGACATTGTTCTCTTTTTCCTTGCTTGTTGTTGTCGTAGAACAAGAATATATTACTCAACAATTATCGTGTAAGAGTTCGATTTTTGACATTCATCTAATCATATGGGGGAGCCTCTGGTTGTGCTTTTTACCGGTAGAATGACGATCTGATCTTTCTCTTGTTTCGAGGCTAATTACAGGTCAATTATACGTTTTATTCTTAGTGAGAAGATCTCTTGAAATATAAAAATGACAGAAAAAGGAACAGAAGAAAAGCAGTTAATTAAATGCTGGTTTTATAGTTTCCAGCGAGAGTAATAGAACTACGTACTACTTCGCTATTGACGACAAAATGAGCCCGAAATTGAATTAGATCCTTCTTTATTTGTTAAGTATATCTCTGATGTGTCAAGGACGCGATTTATATGTCAATCGATCAATCGCGTGAGACAAAGACTAACATCAACTAATTGAATTCTATTTGAATTTCTTTCAGATAAGAGTTTATCTAAGAAAGATTGATGAAAAAATAGCTTTGTCGATGGTGACTAACATTCACAGTGTTCTCATCCATGTTAAATTGGTTCTCTCGTATCTCAACATGGCTATTTATCGAAATGATAGCCACATTAATTCTAGTCATCTTAAATCTCATCATCCCGATGTTGATGATATTTTCTTCGTATCGTAATATCGTTAATTTCTATTTTTCAAGCGTCGCTTTGGCAAGCTCGTTAATTAATACTTTATATCTTTTTTATCTCGTGCAATCACTTCGTTCAAAAGTTCTTCTTGATATCAATTGCCGTGCAATTTATTATCTTCAAGCGTCGTGCATTGTCGTTCTCGGTAAGTTTGTCTTACATGATTATCGATGCACTAAGATAGGAACGGATGGAAAGAAATCAAGAATAGCTGCTCATTATTACTTAGAAAAGTTTCGTGTTCGACAAACATATCTACTATGCTTGAGAAATTAATGACTATCGGATGAAGAAGTTTGTTGAATAGAAGCCACGTAATTGAATAAATCATGTGAAACAACGTTTGGACGAGAAGAATTAACGCTTTCGTATGTTGCAATTCGAATCAGCGACTTAGTCAGATAGAAAAGTTTGATAGTATCTTGCGAAGCCAAGAATTCTGTTAGTTCTCGATAAAATTAGTATTATCATATCCTTGATCTTTCCTACAATATATCATACAGTTCATTGCTAATCTTTATTGATCGCTGTAAGCTATAATTTATCTAAGATTGCTAATCATTGAATCGTTCAGTTACACGAATCTTAACTATTTCTTGTGATTGAATCATTTCAGCATATACGGTCACTGCAATGCATGCTAATTTCGTCTTATCTCTGTTTCCATCGTCGACTAAAACACAACGAACATGTTCGCAATCGTGTGGTGCCACTTTACGTCGATTTTTCCGTCGATTTTGCTTTTGCCTTGTCCTGTGTGTATGGTCATTTTCATTTACCTCCACGATTCCCCTATTGTACACAATCGATTCCAACGAAAAAGCACCTAAGCCTGTCTATTGTCCGGGTACCACGCAGATCAGTTATCTCGAAGAATGGTTTGATCGGAATCGTTTCACTCAAACCGTAGTGTTCTATTTAATACCTCTGTTAATCAGTTCATTTCTAACCATGGTTGCCATTTTAAAGATTTTTTACGACTGTTTTCAGTATATTTTTTTACGAATCAAAATGTCGAGATGTTCGCCCTGTCGACGGAGATATGCGTCCTATCAAGAACAGTCGGACTCTACATCTTACTCTGCAACGCTATTGCAAACATTAGGTCTTGCCGATGGAAGTGATATACAAAATAATGTTAATCGAACAGCAGCCGATGACACCACGACATCACCATTAAGAAATTCGTCCGTTCAAGCCTGTGGACGATGGATTTCAACAACGTTTCTTCGTTTACTACTGGTGTTATCGTGCTGTTTACTTGCGTGTATTTATCCTATTGCCATGCGTTTTTATCTCATTTATTTTTCTGTACTTGTACCCTTGGTATTCGCTGTGCTTAATTATTCTTTCGGACAATTAACACCCAATCAAGAACAGCAACAACAACAAGAGCAGCGGCAGCAACGGGATCGCCAGGCACAAGCACAACCATCGATAGCTGTTGAAAACCAGCATGCAGATGTAACAAATTCAGTACCAAGATCGTCGATAGCGACGTATAGTTCATTGAATCTGAATGTTAGTAAATCACCAGCAACAGTCACACCTGTTATAACGGATCGAGATGAACAATTTGAATTACGTTCATCACTGATAGGAAATTTCTCGACTGAAAACGAAGAAACCTCGACATACCGATCGGGTTCATCCACACCAATATCTGCTCAGAACAATCGATTGACACCATCAGGACAAAACAAACGCAAATACTTCGCAAATCATCTGTATGAGAACACCCGAAGTCTTTTGGCGAAATCGAATGTTTGAACATACGGTTTTTGTTTTTCTTTTGTATTGATTTTTATTTCATATAGAATAAATAAACGAAAAATATGCGTACAGATAAAAGAAGTCAGTCATTCAATACCCATCAGTTTCACAAAGTTCCTCCTGTGTGGTCTTCAATCGTTGTCGTTCGAGATAGTTTTTCAATGGTCTTTTCTTCCGTGTTGTTCGTCGAATATTTTCCGCTAAGATCAAATAATCCAGACGATTGAAATCGTTGAGAATCTTCGTTTTCGATTGCTGATGGTTAGTTTCCGTTTCCAGATGATTTTCTTCGTCGGTTTCATCGATTTCTGTTAACGTGACTGGTTGAGTTCGACAACGAAGGCTGTGACGAGAACGTGATGGTTGAGATGCTTGTCTCAACGGCGGATATTCGAGCATAATTGGTGGAATCTGTTCCAAACATGTTTTCGGATATCTTTCATCAGTAAAATGTTCGATATGCAACGAAATATCAATTCGGTTTCGAATGGATGAAGATGCCGTTGTCATTGTCGTGATTATTGTAAAATCATACAGATCTAAAGATAACAAAGAAAAGAAAAAGGAGGACGAACTTATCAACATGTAATCACACCATTTATTCAAAAGAACAAAGGTCTTTCATCGCTGTATTCATTAAATACACACGCCGATGCCTAGACGACAACGATGAATATGAAAGGTTATTCGATGATATTGTAATGAGGTCGTGATGATAGTATCTTCTGTAGATTTGTGTTCTTTTTTTCTTGTAATTATATGTATTCTTTAATGCTTGTTATGTACGCGTATTAGGTTTACGAACAGATGGAAACATGTCGTCCTAAATCAGTCTACTAGTAATTTCTCTCTCTCTCTCTTTCTCTCTCTCTCTTTCTGCTTCTCTGTTGCGTGAGAACAGAGAGACCTTTGTGCACCGGCAGTCATCCCGTTCATTTTCTTATCTGGGACAAACGGTAATATNTCATCTTATCCATCCAATAATGGAAATCTAAATGTTCCAAGAATATTTACCAACAGCCAAAAAGAAGTTTTAAGGCTCATCGGTCAGCATTTACAAAGCGTTGGGCTAAAGTAAACGCATTGATCTGCAAACGAAAACTAAAACAGAACGAAACTTTTATATTTCTAGTAAAACAGTTGATTTTCTTATTCATGAAAGTGGTTGTGTATTAGAACATGAACAAGCATCAAATTTTCGAGAATTGATCATGTCTGGAAAATGGACTGAAGTGAGTGATAAGGTTTTATTCGTCTACATACTCAGTATAACTTTTGCATACTTCTAGGCTCTTGTGGCACTTGAAAAACTTAAGCAATACATTGAAGAACGTGATGGTATTCAAGTAGGTTCATTCTTAATGAGGAACAGCATATGGAAGTTCATCTTTGTATACATTTCTAGCAAATGAAATATTTGATCTTGGAACAGAAATATTTCGAATTAATCGAAGATAATCGTGCAATGGATGCGCTGCAATGTTTGAGAAATGAAATTCAAGGATTGAAGATTCGTATCGAACGAACACACGAATTAACAACGTATGACAATTGTCTACTAATATAAAACCATTGCCTTTTACTTACGTAGATTTCTAATGTTCAATTCCATGAAAGATATGTACAGAGCATCGAACTGGAGCGGTAAAGGTTTTGCGTCTCGACAAAATCTCATGGAAAAACTGCAAAGTAGATCCAACATTTTTCTTTTGAAATCATTCAACATACAATGGCTTCTGTTTAGAATATCTCCCACCTGATATCATGTTACCTCCGAAGCGACTCGAAACACTTCTGTCTCAAGCTGTTGAATTACAACAAGAGCGATGTACATATCATGTTAAGCCAGGAAAACTGAAATTGGATGATGTTTCATTGCTTAAAGATCATGCATGTAATAAGTACGTACGATAAATCACTAGAATTCTTTTTGTTAAATCTAATTCGATCTTTATAACTCGATCAGTTCATTGATCCGTTACGAAGTATGTATGTGCGTGTGTGTGTTCATAATAGATCAGAGATGAAAAAGCTAGTCTGAATTTTTCGACGACGGAAAGTGGTAATCATGCATAGATGTTCAGTATTAGTAGAAGTATTGATACTGACATCTATATTTACTGTAACATTTGAACATCTCAAGCACATTTTGTCATAGTGAGTGTCAGTACACTGAATACACGTTTGCGGTGCTCGATAAAATGTAACTGCACATCCTACAGTGTATTATATAAAGTCATATGATGTTCCGAGAGCCTCACAATAACAAGATGTAGTTGAAATACTAATCAGCATGTCGATAGAAAGACGAGGTGATGGTCAGCCGTACATATAAAGTTGATATGATAGGAATTTTGACAACAATCGAGTTAAGTTTGAAGATGGGCTGTAAATTACTGGATGAAAGTCTGTCGATGTATTGATTGGGATATTTCCTTTAGGCAAACGTTTCCTTGTGTGACGATACAAACATTAACGGATCATTCAGATGAAGTATGGTTTTGTAAATTTTCTCCCGATGGTACTAAACTTGCAACTGGCTCAAAAGATGGATGTTTACAAGTCTACGATGTGGACATGGTGAGTCGATCGAACTGAAGCTAGTCAGAATACTAATTTTGTGGTTAAATACCTTTCAGGAAACGTACAAAATGAAATTACGCAAACAATTCGAAGGACATTCGTTTGGAATTGGTTGTATCGCATGGTGTCCATTCAGTCGCTACATCATCGCATGTGGAACGGATGAATGCAACGAAATATGGATTTGGGACGTTGAGGTAAATTTGTAACACAAACAACAAAGTACACATATTCATGAAACCTCTCATCTATTTAGCAAGAAGAACAACGAGCACGTATGAATCATTCATCCGAAGATAGCCTTACTTGTGCGGCATGGTTACCATGTGGACAAAGATTTGTTTGCGGAGGATCACGTGGACAATTCTACTATTGTGTATGTGGACAAAAAAGGTGGACTAAGTAGTCGATTGAAGTTTTTAATTCTAGGATATTGACGGAAATGTTATCGACAGTTGGGAGGGTGTTCGTTTACAGTGCTTACATGTTACAAGTGATGGAATTGTTCTGGCAGCTGATGCACAAAAACGTATTAGTTCTTATAAATTCGATAGTTTAACTGATCAACAAATGTATGTTCGCTGACATTTCGAATAACAGAAAAAGAATTTTGATGCGTTTAGTATTCACGAAGATCATCCCATTATGTCATTTACAGCTAGTAAGGATGGTCGATTAGGACTTCTTAACATCGCCACACAGGTAAAGACTTGAATTCGAGAAGAAAAGCTTGGTAGTAAAAATAAGATTTTTTGTAGGGTGTTCATCTCTGGGATTTACATGATAAGCAACTAGTTCGTAAATATCAGGGTGTAACACAAGGTCATTATGTGAACCATGCCACATTCGGCGGACCTAACGAAGAATTTATTGCCAGTGGCAGTGAAGGTTAATATAATTATTTGATGCATTCAGTGAATTATCTTCCTTTTTTTCTCATAGATTCAAAAGTCTATTTGTGGCATCGTCGACAAGAACGTCCAATCATGGCCTTTTCAGGTCATACACGTACTGTAAATTGTGTTACATGGCATCCAACGTTGCCATTACTTTTTGCATCAGCATCTGATGATGCTACAGTTCGCATTTGGTCTACACCTGAACATCAAATGAAAACCGGTTTGTTTGCATAATCACTTCAGTACTAAATTTCTCTCTCTCTTCTCTTTTAGAATCATTGTCGGGCAATGAATCATCAACTTGATAAGATTTATTTATTTATCTTCAATGCTCATTTTCTGTTTGTACATGCACTTTAACATAAACTCTTCTTATTCTTAGTTCTGATTGTCTTTACGCGCTATATCACTCTGTTCATTTGGCGTTGTTACTTATATGCACACATATACACGTACATGTTTTGTTTTCGTCTTTTTATCGCATTGTATGGGTCAAACATATTGAAAAATCTGTTTTCTTTTTTTTCACTCTATCTTTGTTTATAAATATATATGTATGTATATGTGTGTGAAACAAAAAAATTCTTTGATGTAGATCTTCTCTATACTGAAAACAAAACCAAACAAGTTTTGAAATTCTTTCTTTTTTTCGATACGCCATACTGTTTGATTTCTCCTATTTCGTTAACGTATTTTGTATACACGTAAAACACTCTCTTTTGTTTTGGTTCTCTTTGCTTTTTTTTAAATACTTTATTCGTGCTGTGCTGTTTCTTTGAATACGTATGCATAAAGACATGAAGAACATTGAATGACTCTTTTAACGAATCATGATTTATATTCGATGCTCGTCGCAAGCCGTTTCCTTAGAAAGAACAGTCATGTACTTATTAAAAAAGATCTCAGTACAGCTATTTTCTTCGTCACCATCTCGAGTTAGATCAACACAATGCCTAGAATCTTAAGAAAGTGCTAAAGAACAAGATCGAATGCATTAGTTAATGCCATCAACAAGATTTATTATACGTCAACTGTAAGACTTATTGTAACCGATAGTAAATACATATACATATGAATGTTTCGATTGATTTGATGTGTTTTGCAAACAAAAACAAGCGACATTAGAATAGTGTATCACATGTAAAAGAAATTATTCAATATGAATCAATAATGTCATATGCTTTTATATTCGATGGTAACTTACTAATCGAAAGACGATTTTGAAGAAATAATAGGGACACAGAACATATATATCTGTTGTTGACAAGAATAGTTATACTAATAGCAGCTGTTATATGTTGTCGATGTTATTTTATAATACATTATCAGCAATAGATTGTTGTCGGATCGAACAGACTCGGAGTATCCAAATCAGAAGCAGCAATCTAAATGGGTTAAGTAAGTGCGAGATTGTCAATCTTGTCGTTATTATATTCGAACAGCAAAATTTGTTTCAAGGTAAGAAAAACTTGAGAGAGAGAAGTTTGACACGATGACATTGTTTTCATGTCATTAGAATAATTACGGAATAAATAGATTTGAAAACTGATCTAACTTTATTTCTTCGGTTAGTAAATTAAAGATGCATTAGTTTCGTAGTTCATACTGTGAGATAGTAATGTGTGTCTGTTTGATGATTATTTTGATGGTACCAGGTGGTGCGCTTCTTCGATATTTGTCAAGGACATTGTTTTGTCAATGTACGACGATGATTGCATACATATGTCTATGAGTGTATTTATTCAGTTTTTGACTTGATTATGTCAAAAGAAAGATGTCTCGAACTTTCTTTCATCGGTTATTGTGTTCTTTTTTTTGCTAAATCAATGGAAACGTATGTGACGATTGATCGGAAAATCGATTTTTCTTACTTATTAATATCAAGGATAATGATGACTGTCTTAGACAAACATGTGATATTATCCCAATAATCAGTACGACGGTCATTAATCGCTTGTGCGTCATTACTCTATCTTCAGATGAAACAGAGCTTGAAAAACGAGGGATCTTAATGCGTAAGAAAATGTCGAATTCCACATATTTTTTTGACTAATGGAAAAGGGATCAGTGAGGAGAAGACATTGTTCCCTTTTTCTTTGCTTGTTGTTGTCGTAGAACAAGAATATATTACTCAACAACTACCGTGTAAGAGTTCGATTTTTGACATTTAATCTAATCATGTGGAGGAGCCTCTTTGTGTGCTTTTTAGCGGTAGAATGACGGTCTGATCTTTCTCTCGCTTCGAGGCTAATTACAGGTCAATTACACGTTTTATCCCTAGTGAGAAGATCTCTTGAAATATAGAAATGACAGAGAAAGAAAGAGAAGAAAAGCAGATAATTAAATGCTGGTTTTATAGTTTCCAGCGAGAGTAATAGAACTTCGTACTACTTCGCTATTGACGATAAAATGAGCCCGAAATTCAATTAGATCCTTCTTTATTTGTTAAGTATATCTCTGATGTGTCAAGGACACGATTTATATGTCAATCGATCAATCGTGTGAGACAAAGACTAACATCAACTAATTGAATTCTATTTGAATTTCTTTCAGATAAGAGTTTATCTAAGAAAGATTGATGAAAAAACAGCTTCGTCGATGGTGACTAACATTCTCAGTGTTGTCGTCAATGTTAAATTGGTTCTCTCGTATCTCAACATGGCTATTTATCGAAATGCTAGCCACATTAATTCTAGTCATCTTAAATCTCATCATCCCGATGCTGATGATATTTTCTTCGTATCGTAATATCGTTAATTTCTACTTTTCAAGCGTCGCTTTGGCAAGCTCGTTAATTAATACTTTGTACCTCTTTTATCTCGTGCAATCACTTCGTTCAAAAGTTCTTCTTGATATCAATTGTCGTGCCATTTATTATCTCCAAGCGTCGTGCATTGTCGTTCTCGGTAAGTTTGTCTTGCATGATTATCGGATGAAGAAGTTCGTTGAATAGAAGCCATGTAATTGGCTCAATCGAATAAATCATGTGAAATGACGTTTGGATGAGAAGAATTAACGCTTTCGTATGTTGCAATTCGAATTAGCGACTTAGTCAGATAGAAAAGTTTTGATAGTGCCTTTCCAAGCCAAGAATTCTGTTAGTTCCCGATAAAAATTAGTATTATCGTATCCTTGATCTTTCCTATGATATATCATGCAGTTCATTGCTAATCTTTATTGATCGCTGCAAGCTATAATTTATCTAAGATTGCTAATCATTGAATCGTTCAATTACACGAATCTTAACTATTTCTTGTGATTGAATCATTTCAGCATATACGGTCACTGCAATGCATGCTAATTTCGTCTTATCTTTGTTTCCGTCGTCAACTAAAACACAACGAACATGTTTGCAATCGTGTGGTGCAACTTTACGTCGATTTTTCCGTCGATTTTGCTTTTGTCTTGTCCTGTGTGTATGGTCATTTTCATTTACCTCCACGATTCCCCTATTGTACACAATCGATTCAAATGAAAAAGCACCTAAGCCTGTCTATTGTCCAGGCACCACGCAGATCAGTTATCTCGAAGAATGGTTTGATCGGAATCGTTTCACTCAAACTGTCGTGTTCTATTTAATACCTCTGTTAATCAGTTCATTTCTAACCTTGGTTGCTGTTTTAAAGATTCTTTACGATTGTTTCCAGTATATTTTTCTACGAATCAAAATGTCGAGATGTTCACCATGTCGACGGAGATATGTGTCCTATCAAGAACAGTCGGACTCCACACCTTACTCTGCAACGCTATTACAAACGTTAGGTCTTGCCGACGGAGGTGATGCACAAGATAATGTTAATATAACGTCAGCCGATGATACTACGACATCACCATTGAGAAATTCGTCCTTTCAAGCCTGTGGACGATGGATTTCAACGACGTTTCTTCGTTTACTACTGGTGTTATCGTGCTGTTTACTTGCGTGTATTTACCCTATTGCCATGCGTTTTTATCTCATTTATTTTTCTGTACTTGTACCCTTGGTGTTCGCTGTGCTTAATTATTCTTTCGGACAATTAACACCCAATCAAGAACAGCAACAACAACAAGAGCAGCGGCAGCAGCAGAATCGCCAGACACAAGCGCAACCATCGATAACTGTTGAAAACCATCATGCAGATGCAACAAATTCAGCAGCAAGATCGTCGATAGCGACGTATAGTTCATTGAATCTGAATATTAGTAAATCACCAGCAACAGTCACACCTCCTATTATAACGGATCGAGATGAACAATTTGAATTACGTTCATCACTGATAGGAAATTTCTCGACTGAAAACGAAGAAACCTCGACATACCGGTCGGGTTCATCCACACCAATATCTGCTCAAAACAATCGGCCGACATCAGGACAAAACAAACGTAAATACTTCGCAAATCATCTTTATGAGAACACCCGAAGTCTTTTGGCGAAATCGAATGTTTGAACATACGGTTTTTGTTTTTCTTTTGTATTGATTTTTATTTCATATAGAATAGATAAACGAAAAATATGCGTACAGATAAAAGAAGTCAGTCATTCAATACCCATCAGTTTCACAGAGTTCCTCCTGTGTGGTCTTCAATCGTTGTCGTTCGAGATAGTTCTTCAATGGCCTCTTCTTCCGTGTTGTTCGTCGAACGTTTTCCGCTAAGATCAAATAATCCAGACGATTGAAATCGTTGAAAATCTTCGTTTTCGATTGTTGATGGTCAGTTTCCGTTTCCAGATGATTTTCTTCGTCGGTTTCATCGATTTCTGTTAACGTGACTGGTTGAGTTCGACAACGAAGGCTGTGACGAGAACGTGATGGTTGAGATGCTTGTCGCGACGGGGGATATTCGAGCACAATCGGTGGAATCTGCTCCAAACATGTTTTCGGATATCTTTCATCAGTAAAATGTTCGATATGCAACGAAATGTCAATTCGGTTTCGAATGGATGAAGATATCGTTGCCATTGTCATGATTATTGTAAAATCATACAGATCTAAAGATAACAGAAGAGAAAAAGGAGGACAAACTTATCAACATGTAATCACACCATTTATTCAAAAGAACAAAGGTCTTCCATCGCTGTATTCATTAAATACACACGCCGATGCCTAGACGACAACGATGAATATGAAAGGTTATTCAATGATATTGTAATGAGGTCGTGATGATAGTATCTTCTGTAGATTTGTGTTCTTTTTTCTTGTAATTATATGTATTCTTTAATGCTTGTTATGTACGCGTATTAGGTTTACGAACAGATGGAAACATGTCGTCCTAAATCAGTCTACTAGTAATTTCTCTCTCTCTCTCTTTCTCTTTCTACTTCTCTATTGCGTGAGAACAAAGAGACTTTTGCGCACCGGCAGTCATCCCGTTCATTTTCTTATCTGTGACAAACGGTAATATTCATTTCTTTTGATTCTATTCAGAAAGAAAAGAACTGAGTAACTCTGCATCATTCAACATTTACTATTGTAATCTAGGTGTCCTTGCCTTTTCAGAATATATTTACCAGTAAATTCTATATGACCTACGGTGTCTCTCCATCATCGTAATATAAGAAACTGACAAACATTCGATACCGATTACTTTCCTTTCTCTGCCTTTGCAAATACATTAGCAAAAGCTTATCTAAATCAAAGAAATGATAAACAATTCCTAGTCAATGTCAATGGCTATATGTGGTTCATTTTCGAGTAATGAAGTCAAAGATTAATCAACTGGTTATTATTCATGAAAACAAGTGATTAGAAAGAGATCTTTGCCATCCGTCTTTTATACTGTGTTAATTCATCAATTTCGAGGCCGACAGACTCTTTTAATATTATTCTAACAACAATGACTCATTAGGAAAATTAGATCTAGTCTACTGAATTCTCGTTCTTTCGCATTAGTTGAAAGATTAATATGCACATACACAAGAATCGAAAATTAACGTGCCTAAGAACTTCTGCATTCTATGTCATGTCGAATTCTTTTAAGGTCAGATCAACTAAATCCATGAGATGAAATGATCATTGACAAATTAGACAGGAAACCAAAGTAAAAGTCGTATAATCAGTTTTAGAAAATCATGGCATTAGATCAAGAAGCATGCTTAATTGCTTGACTGAGTCGGTACCTGGTAATAGAAAAGAGCGTGTAACCATCAGTAGAGTTAACTGATACGACAGATGCATTCATGTAGTTTCGATATGTTGCATTAGTAGTGAATCGATTTTACATCACTGACATCTTTCAGTGACGACTAAAGCCGAGTTACTTGTGCGTGTGTATGTGTGTGTTTTACACATTATGATTCATGACGAGGCTTGACAAATTACCAATGATGATGCAATGACTCATGTTTTTCTTATAAATATGAAAAACGTTCGTTTTAGTTTAAACTAAAGAAGCGCAATACAATGTCGTTTGATATAGACGATAAACAATTGTTAGATGATGAAAAACTTCTGGCTAGTCAAGTAAAACAACTTGAGTCAGTCAGTGATCAACGTCTCGACCCAGCGTATCCATTTGTTGTCCGTCTGGATGGTGTTTCGTTTCGAAATTATACGCGTGGTTTCAAAAAACCATTTGATCAACGTATGACTCGAGCATTTATTCGTACATCTGCTGATTTACTTCAACGATTCAGTCCGTTGACCATCTTCTACGAGTCTGATGAAATCTCTCTTGTCTTCAATGCATGTCCAGTGCTCGAATCATCTGAGAAACATCCTCGCGAACACATGTACTCTGGTCGAATACAGAAATTAGTCTCTGTGCTTGCTTCGTATACAGCAGCAAAGTTTAATAAATACATCAATGAAGAAGACTGGTCAGATATAGAAAGTCCTCATGTGCGTGAACGTCTTCAAGCGCATTCGGCCTATTTCGATGGTCGAGCTTTTACCGTGCCTAATGTGTTTGCTGCTGTAGCGTCGATCTATTGGCGTCATCGATATGATACATTGAAAAATGCGACATTAACGTACGCATTAAGTCATTATTCACAAAATGCTATCCTGGGAAAAAGTCCACATGAATTACGTGATCTGATGCGTACGGAAAAGAATTGGGATATGCTTGCTGACGCACCGAAGAATATTATCTATGGTACGTTCTTAAAAAAAGAATTGTACGATTTAGAAAGCATGGATCGCAAAACTCAACAGAATGTCATTGTCAAACGTAGTCGAGTACGTGTTGGATCATTTAGTATGAGCAAATTGTTAGCAAACAATAAGGACAAAGTTGAATTTATTATGAGCAAATATTGGAATGAAGGAAACCCTAATGTTATGGACGTTGAAATACCTGATTGGTGGATGCAGTACTATCGGCAGCCAAATACATTAGTAAATGATGAATAAACATAGAAAAATTAAACTTTCATACATGTTCTTTTTGTTTACACGTTTGATACAGAACAAAAAATGACAGTGTGTGTGTGTGTGTGTCTTCTACTCAATGACATTGCATGTAACACATTGTCTTCATCTTGTTTCGTATTATCGCTGATGAATAAAATGATGACAGTTGCTGAAAATCCAGAGAGAAATTTGTTTTCATAACTGGAGCTCGATGACATACGAAATTAATAGAGGCGTCGTCTAGTCATCTCATTTTTATCACTCTGATTTCCTTGTTAGTTTTTGATAGTAAAAACCTTCGATTCCGACCGTTAAATCGCCATGTAATTTGCCTCGGCACAACTGTATTGAGTAAACAACAAAACTCAGATGTTCGGCAATTACATAGAAATCTGAAAAACATATCAACAAGAAACTTTCAAGATTTGAATGATTATTGAGACACTTCAAAACCAACTATCAATAATGAAATGATAGCAATTTTGACAATATCTTTGTAGGTATCTTAATAGATCTAGTCAACTTGAATGAATAAGTCTGTATATTATCACAGTGATAGTACGAAAGAGAAGGCGCATTGAAGCATCCAAATGTATCTTTCTTTCGTTTATATCATTTTGAGGTTCATTATAAGAATCTGCAAAATCTATGCTGATATCTAATTCACATAGGATCTCCTTTTACTGTTTTTGGAAAAAGATCTCGAACGCATTACGTAGGCGCTGGCTTATTAGATATTCGTAATTTCTCATGTTCATGATTTGTGATGTAGGATCCATTGGAGTGGGGGCGCTGTTTTCTGTACTTTAAATTCAACAAGTAGGAGTAATTATATGCAGGTACATTGATTAGACCCGCACAGAATCATCTTATAATCCGTATTTTTTCTTAACTGACTCGGTTCTAATACAACATAGAAATAGAAAATGACATACGAACAACGAAGAAACACACACACACACACACACATCAAAAGAAAGTTTGTGGTTTTTATTGAATGGCTGAAGAAGAAATGAAATGGAAAAGTCTTAAGGAGTTTTATTCTAATTTGCTTTGTTGTAGTTTCAACGACGTCGCATCGCATTGATAATGTGATTGCGTGGGTGATGATGATAATGATGGTGGTTATTATTATTATTATTTGAACGAATGGTTGTTCGGTTGGTGAAGGATGTAGACGAAAATAAAGAAGTAGTCGAGGATGATGAAGACGACGACAAATCTTTAGCACTTGTCGTCGTCGTTGTAACTATTGAAGATGGATATTGCTTAGCGTGATGCATTCGTTCGAAGCGTGGTGCAATAAATTTTAATTTTTGACCACTCGCATTTGCTAAGTCATTAGTAATCGATGATAATGACGAAGAATTATTCTTCATTTTAACTATGGGCGTAGCTAATGGACTTGTTTGATTATTGCTTAGGGAGGTTGTCAGAGGTTTCGCTGCGGCCGCATAAGAAATACGTTTTGGCATCAAGGTGTTCAGATTATTTTTACTATTATGATGATCATAATGTAAGGAGGATTGTTGCGAGTAATCACTACGACTGGCATCACTAGCGGATTGATACCCGTCATCTGTATCGGGTGTTGATGAACGATTTTGTGTTAATTTTTGTTGATTAAGAGTATTTTCGGACGATAAGGATAAATTAGACGAGACATGAGTAATATTTTTATCGATATTCATCGATAATAATGACTCGTCCGTATTATTATTATTATTATTATGAAGAGAACTAATCTCTTGATCATTATCATTCTCATCGTCCGCTGAGTAAATTTGTTTCATCGATGGATAGAGTAACGCAAGTAACCAACTGGGTAAACGCGTTGATAAATCGAAATCTTCATCCTTTATTTGTTGCTGGATGCAAGACGATGAAGGCCGATAGAGATGAGAGTAAATTTCGGGTGAGTAGAGCAACCAATCCCAGCAGGCTGATGAAGATGTTGACAACATAGATGAGGACGATGTCGGGTTTTGATTTACAGTAGTTGTGACGAGAGATGTTTTGGTTGGGGCAGCAATGATTGGGTTCCAATAGGTATTTGAGGTTTGGTGAGGTAAGGAAGATGATGACATCTCATCACTATATGAACTGGTGGAAGCAGTCACGTAATAGTCCGCACCAGTTACTAGAAAGAAAAAGAAAAAGATGAGAATAAAGGAACGAGGATGACAGTGAGTATAGCAAAACGTAAATGAAATGGAGAAGAAAGGAAAAAATACACGTCGTTTTTAAGCAGCGCGCGCCGAGTTTGGAAAAAATATATAAGGAGGAATCCGTAGGCGGAAAAAAATAACGACTGAAAAAGAAGGGAAAGTTAACTCAAAGCTCGAAGGCACATTTGTTGCAGCTCATCTGCAAAACTCGGTCAACGTTCGTTAAATGAAAGAAATTCGCCTTCGTCAGTACTATTGCTATATACAGATCGTCAGTCGATAATTGTGCTAATGACCAACTGTGCACTGTCATATGTATGGATGAATGTGTATACATAAATTGCAATCTCTCCATGCACTATTTGGATTACACAACATAACTTTTTTTGTTTTATGACAAGTATGAACGTACAAAGACAATTGACGCTCCCTCATTTTTTTCCTTTTACACCACTATCTGTATGTGTGTCGGCGACCAAACAACGCAGTATTCATTGTAATTATGAAGCGCGAAAGGGACGCTCGAGAAGAACGTTTCCTCTCTCTCCCTCTCCTTTTTCTTCTTCGTTTTTTTTTCTTTTTTTTTGTTGTTCCCGACACTGACAGCCTTTCTTCATTCTCGGCCTAACTGCATTCCAAATCACACGAACAAAAGAGACGACACCATTCTAACTCATCCGCAACCTACTACCTTAACAGGCACATCCATAGGGATATCAAGTTTACAAAACGCACTATTCTAACTATCCTTCACTTAAAAGAAATGCTTATCCTTATTGTAAATTCTGTCGATTTAATATCTATCACCTATTCATTAACGAAATAAGATAAGACAAGCACAAAATGGGTCCTCGCGTTTTCCATTGAACACTATATGTTAATCTGAGAATCGTTGCTTCGAGAAGATAAACATTCTTCTAAATATTCATTGAAATCCATTCGTACTCATTTAGTGTTTTTTACATATCTAAATTCTATAGTCCCACAAATCATTCATGCCCGTATGTTTATCGATATGCTAGCATAGAAATGACAATTTGCATCATTATTTTTGTATCGTATCGCTTCGTGTATTTTACAATGACACGTTCTTAATTATTAAAAAAATGCATCTTGCTTCTCTTTGTTTCTGAATTACTTTTGTCAATGTTTTTTTTACACTCTTGATATAACATCCAAAACGCATGACAAATCATGGTCATTAAATAGACGAACATCGTTCTCATAGACTACACAAATTTATTGCTTTGATTTTTTTTTTAATGTATCTATTATCAGATACTTGTCTTACAAGGATAGCAGTAATAATCATTTGCAAATGAGTATAATGGTAACAGAGAGAGAGAGAGAAAGTAGTTCGCAGTCATCGACTCACATAAATTATCGAGAGTATGAACAAAACTTCAAGATAATGTATACCTTTTTTTCTTTTCCTATTCGGTTCGTGATTCAATCATACTCGAAAGACTTCTATATACAGACCATATCTTGAAGTTCATTTATGTCTCTTCTTTCTTTTTACATAAATCGTACTAATTCGATTTAGATTTTATCGTTGCTTGGCTGCTCTAATAGAACACAGTAGAGCGGTGCAGTAATTGCACGCATGAATATCTCCAAGTAACAATCATCTGATTGATCGAGACGATCAACTTGCATCGAGAACGATTCATTCAATTGAATAACTTTAACTAGAAAAAACACGACTAACGTCAATGTTGCCTTCGTTTTCATCCAATATGATTATCATTCATTGCGCAAGATGAAGGAGAATGAGTTGACTACGAATAGCTGCAGATAGGATGTACAACAATTTGTTCTATGACGTATTTCTATTGCAGACTGATTAAGAAAACATTTCAGCTGGGCATCTATCTCAAATGTTACTGTTCTAATTCTTCCTGTTTTGTTAATTTTGATAATAATCAGACTTATAAAATGAGAAGAAAGAAATTGTTGCGAGAGGAATGATCTATTTCTCAAGTGTAAACCAAATTTTCTCGATGAACATTTCTCTCGATTGTCTTCTTTACCGTAAACATCATCAGCTCGATTTGAATGATATTGGTTAAATGCTTCATTCTCATCGTTTCTTAATCCAACATAAGTGTTCGTTGTTCGATTTGTAGTCGACGGTTCGTTGCTAGTGCAATAATACGAAGTTGTCGAACAACTTTGTTGATGTTGCTGTGATGAAAGATGCTGGTTATATCTGAGCCAGCGTTGCTGTTGGTTCTGATGAGGATGATGTTGTTGTTGTTGAGGAGGGTACCACATCAATAGATAGATAAAGTAAGTCTATAAATAGTTCAGATTTTTTTCTTTTCCAAATAATTTCGAATCAATCGTATCGCATTGATATGCTGGACAGCATTGACGGCTTGTCTAGAAGAGCAGAAAAATGAATAGAGTGAAAGAAAGTATACATGACGAACATGTACATGGCGATGGTAATCAACTGCTTCTTTCGTTCTCCTCTTCTCCTTCTTCGTCTTCAACTGCACAGGTAAAGAGAAAAGAAAGAATGACGTTCGTCAATGGTGAACCCGTCCGACCGTCGTCCACCACCACCACTCTGCCGCTAAACTATTGCACACTGTTGATGGAACACGACCGACGGAAAAGAAGAAGAAATGGAAATGACATTTTCTCGTTACCACCATTACTGGCGTTTTTCTCTCTTTCTTTTTCTTTCTTGCTTTTCTTTCCTTCATCCTTCCTGATGAGTATTGTAGTTGATAGGGGGTAGTAGCACCCTTATGGGTTGTTATAATACGAACGGAAGAAGACGAAGGAGAAGGAGAGAGTTCTCGTTACTCATGTCATACATCGAGCAGGCATACATAGTACAGAGCGCGAGGACAAGAGAATAAGAAACTTTGTGTGCTTCCTAGTTGCACAGAATTTCAACCCATAGAAGAAGCGACAAGTAAACGATAGAATTTCGCCCCGTTGCATCAAATGACGCATATATATATATACAGCGTGGAAGAAAGAAATATGGTAGAAAACCGAAATAGGATAGAGTTGAAAAGGTTGTAAACAGTCGAAAGATGATAAAGTCACATATCTATATACAAAGAGATGAGCAATAACAGGTGTGAAAAAGCTCATCGACATGAGAGATTCAACTAGCTATTGCTATATACATAGTGATTCCTTTTTACAAATGGAGCACATCGGTGGCGAGTCTGATATGTCGGAGAGAACAAAGAAATCTGCCCATATGTTGTTTCTCGTTGTGAACTCATTTCGACAATCCGATCGTGAATATAATCATCTTGTTCAAATGTAATAAATGTTACCCTTGTGATCTGCTTTGTTCCTTAGTACGTACACGTGCCCATAAGCACGTTCAACATCATCCATCTGTCTGAATGTTATGTCTAATACTAATCAGTAGTAAATAAATCATACGTACGTGCTTCGTTTCTACATTTATATGTATTGTATGTATGTACATATAGATAAACTTCCTTCTTTTCCTCTTATCTACCTTTTACTTGACTGTCGTTTCATTGAGAAGTACATCTGTACAACGTTATCAATCATGAATAAAAAGAAAGGAAAGTCACTTTTTCTATATAATTGAAATGATTACGATCTATTGAAGAAAAAGAAGGAAAAAAGAATTTACTCTTTTTTTTCTTATTTCTGTAAGCATTAAGTTTAAAGCATGGTGAGGACGACTGATTCTGTCAAAATATTGACACATAAGCAAGCAATGTATGCACAATCTGATTGAAAAGAGTAATGCATAGCAAATGTATACGCAAAATGAGGGAGAAAAAGCATGTCTATGCATGTGCGTGTGTCAGCTGAGTGCTATTGAAACCGACATTTCGATGACACAATGATGATTTCAGTGAATATGTATTGATGAAAGAAAAGAAAGAAAGAGAAAAAAAACTCGGAGTATACTTTAAACGACATGATCTATCTGATATGATGTATGTATAGACATTAGCTCCTTTTTCAGTACAAGTTTTATTGTTATGGGTATATTTATGTACTAGATTATGACCTAATCAACCTAGACAGACGAAGGCGAACGTAGAAGAATCTCATCGGGGGTGTCAGCTGCTTTCTAATAAAGTGAAAGAAAAACAAAGCCGGTGTACAATTCATTTTTCGAAGGTAAAATAAACTGAGCAAGTATGAATGCTATCGAAATTCAATTTCAATTTGGACGCGAATTTCGCACAGCAAAATTAGAATCCGAGAATTATTTGACATTTGAATTCCTACTTCGTCTTATTCAACAAACATTTTCAACCTGTAAACATCCATTCACGTCATTCATCTATGTCGATGACGATGGCGATCGCGTTACAGTTTCGAGTGAACTTGAAATGGATCCATTACGAGAATTTTATTTTCGTATGTGCCAAGAACAATTATCTTCGAAGCCTATTCTCAAACTTCAACCTATCGTCAACCGCAATCATGCTAATTTAACAATCGATACCATTTCATCATCTCCTGGCGATCAAAATAATCAAGAAAGAAAGAAATATGCCTATATGGAAGCTAACGTTGAACACATTCTTTCATCAGGAAAGATGTTATCTCTTGACATGCTGGAAATTATCGGTACAGGAAACAGTGGTGTTGTACGACGATGTCGAAATCGGCAAACTCAACAAATTCTTGCGGTGAAAATTATTTCACTCGACCTCCATAAAGAAGAAAAGAAACATGAAATCGTCACTGAACTCAATGCATTGAATACCCTCCAGTCGGATTATATTGTTCAGTTGCACGGTGCTTATTTACACGAAAATTCTGTTCATATCTGTACTGAATACATGGATCGCGGTTCACTCGAACAATATATCGGTATTCTTGTACCCGAAAATGTTCTCATTCACATAACATTATCAATGATACAAGGTTTGATGTATATGTGGAGTCGTAAGATAATGCACCGTGACATCAAACCATCCAATGTGCTTGTGAATAGTTATGGTTGTATAAAACTATGCGATTTCGGTGTTAGTCGAGTGCTGGAAACAATTGGCCAGAAAGTAGATACATTTATTGGTACACACAAATACATGGCACCAGAACGTGTCATCTCAGATGAATACAGCATTCCATCAGAGATCTGGAGTGTAGGCATGACAGTTCTGGAGATGGGCCTTGGGCGATATCCATTTCATACGGAAAGTCAAGGTCCACCACTAGCCGTTCGGCCTATCGAACTAGTACAATGCATTGTGTATGAGGCAACACCACCATTATCGATTGATCGTGGCTATTCATCCGAATTTGCTGCAATCATTCAGAAGTGTCTTTCTAAAACTTCCACAGAACGACCACTACCAAAGGATTTTCTCGACTATCCTCTCTTCATAAAATATAACCATAATGATCCCAACCAGAATCGCGCAATCGTTGCCGATTTCTTCAATCGGACCGCAATCGCTGCTGCTCGACCGTAACTGAACTTCTCTTCTTCGAATGTTTATTTCTTACTGTGTTCGAAAAAAGAGACAGTTCATTTATTTCAATGGTCTCAAACTGAATCGTAGTTCCTGTTCCTTATTGCCTATATGATAATTTAGAGATGTTTTTATCATAGGTCGGTCTGTTTCCTATTCATTATTATCATTTGAAATAAAAAATAAACACCATATTAGAAAAGCAACACTGAGTAGTGAGACTACTTCAAATGTAAAAATTTTGATGAAGAATTATAGTATGGGATTTTTTGTAGTGTTTTTCAAACCTTCGAGAGGGATCAAAGATGTCGTGGGCCTCATTTAGTCATCACTCATTGGCCTCTGTGTCTGTTCTTTGTTCATTACAGATAATCAGAAGTATATATATGAACGCCCTTGTACTCATTGTTGGTCAGTTCTTAACGTTCTCTCAATATGAAAGATATTATTGCACAAAGACTTGATGAAAAGTGGGATACAGTTATTTTAGACGGTACGAAGCCACCAATCAACAAGCATTTACGCAAAAAATTAAATAGTATTCGGAAAAGCGGCTATCTACCACCACCACGATTGATTCAACTGCACCGTTAGTCATTGTCGTTTATTTTGAGAAAGGAGTTGGGAATAGAAAATTGTAGCAAGATTTGCTTTCAAATGATAATCCTTTTTTATGTTTAGAAGTACCGGTGGACCCACCTCACATTCGTGCCAAAAAAGGAATTACTGATGACTCAATAAGTAACCAAATAAATTAGTAAATTTTTATCAATTACAAAAAAGTGGTGCTTAGTACTTCCGTTTGATTCAGTTTGACATTAACTAATGATATTTCACCTGAAAAAATTGATCCAGTTTTAACTTATTCCACGCCAGTTAAAGTGGATCAATCAATTATTGTTTTATCGCCATCGACTAACCATCCATCAATAAACGATAATATGTTACCAATCATGAATGACTGTCAAGGAAACGACATGAAACTGGTTTGTGGCGACGAGAATGTTATAGACGACGAACCAATGGAACAATATGATGTTGAAGACAGTTATTTGGAAAATTTAAAAGAAGAGATTGATGTTTTAGTGAAACAATTGGATGTGCGAATGATCACAATGCAGGCCAGAATTGACAAGACAACTCGACAACTCACACAAATGCACCAAGACTTCGACGAATTAGTTATTATGAAACAAAAGACAATCAGCGAATTCAATCAAAAAGTAAAAGAACATGAAAATAAGATCAAGAAGTGAGTGAAAAGAACATTAGTCCAACATCGAACTGTTTTCTACTATACTATAGACCTGATACAACTCGAAAATCTTTAAAAAGAATGAAACAAGCAACCAAGATTAGTCGTCGAAAATAGATAGCTTAGATCATTTCATACATGTATATAGACTGCTGAATATTTTTGTCTATGTGAACATATTGTATAAAGATTACATGAAAATCAAATGGAAAAATTCTCCTATCTTCGATGAGTGCTCAATTTATTGTTAAAAAATCTTTTTCTTCAATAAAAATGAACCCATTGTACCTAAGCATTATTCATTGTGACAATCACTGGTTGGATACGTATCAAGAACAATCTATGCTTTACAGATGACTTTAAAATAGTTCCATATAGACCTAGAAAAATAATTTGAATAACAGAACCGTTCCAATCATTCAATGGATTTTCAATTATTAATGAATAAATGGCTGTTGTACTTGTTCGTTCCTTTAATGTTCACTTCATAAAAGAAAATCAATTTTATCGATTCAGTTGATATTTCTGTAACAGGATTTGTCACTAGCCAAGCTTCAGCAGTATCTGCTACCCTTGTCGGGTCACTTGGACTTCTCGGCAAGACGACAAGAGTGTCGTTCTTTGCTATCAAGTGTACGATCACGAAATTGCCCTTCAACCAATAATACAATCTACTATTGTAGGAATGCACCTAATAGTATTGTTTGCTGACTTAACTTGTGCGAAAATTTTACAGTTAAAAACATGAACTGCATTCGTCTTCAATGAGTAAGAAAGAAGATTTCTTTTGCAAAATTGAATTTAGACCTATACCGAAGAAGTAGTCGACTTGTACTAGTTCGAAAATCTGCCCAAAAGGCATTCTAAAGGCAGTAGATTATTTCAGAAACTAAAGAAAGCTTAATTAATTCTTTCGCAAGAAAAAAAAAACAAGTAACGCTCGTCTAGCGACTCGCTCAACTCTTTCTAGTAGAAATCGTGCTTTCAGATATTACACCTTTAAAGCTATTATTGTGTATATTACTTTATTTTCAGTGTAGAATAGATATTTATACCAAATATCTAATTGAGAACCAAATATTCTAAATAAGTATCAATACAATTAAGTAGATTATGAGTTATTACATGAAAAAAGAAAATCAGAAAACACAATAGGAAATATCTGCTACAATGAGAGAAAAGAAACGATTACTACAATAATTGAGATAAATGCAAAGAAAGAGGTACATTCTCGTTTTGTCTTTTTGTCAAGTTCATCTAGACGTTTCAGTTCAGCGTCTTGAGTAAGAGAGGGTCGAACTTATAAACAAGTAATAAATGTTTTTCTAAAAATCGGTATCCTTGATTTGAACAATTTTTTTTAATTCTGAAAAAACCTAGCATCAGATTCGAAGTCTCCGCACCGAAATACCTCTGGAAATATCTTTTCGGAAAAATCGATGTTTTTTTGACCGTGCGGACATACACGCAAACAATTTATGTTTCTAAGACTCTTCTCTACGAGAAAGAGAAAATCGAATATCAAGATCAAGACGAAAAATATATAGCTGCTATCTAACTCATAGATCAATATATAAATTTTATTGAGTAAAATTTGAGTGGGCAAAACTCAAAATGGAACGGATAATTGCTCATTCGCCCCTCTCCTGGCTGCGCCACTGCAACGAGTAATCCGGCTTTCAGATCTTGCCGAATTCCCATCGAATCCGATCGAGTGTACTCGCTCTGAGCAACCATTCCCTAAAGCGTAATTAAGATTGAGAACCTCAAACTCGACGTCAATTTCTTCTGGTGCATCTTTGTTTTAAATCTCAGTTGATATGTAGTCTATTTAAAAGGAAATCATTCTGATCCATTATAAGTATGCGTAAGCTCCTTGCTCTTCTCTGTTGAAAAAAAGAACACCATGTGACGTACAGTCGTACAGTAGAATGTCATTGGCGTTAAACATGGTATAAAGCTAAACATATTCATTGAATTCGAATATGAATAGAAAAACGGCGGATATTGTGGATAGATCATTATAATCGACTAAACAACAACGGCTTTTTTTACAAAGAGACGAGTGGTTTGGTTTATGAAGTAAAGCAAGTCTCTATGGTGTTTTAAGTATGCGGAAAGATATAGTTCTACCATTTTAGTATCAGATCAGGGAGTTCAATGGGCGGGCATTACTTATAAATTACATATGTACATTGAAATAAGTTTCATTGTGCACGTATTGGTTATCCTAAACTTGGTCTTCGCTTTTGTTGAAAATATTAGATCCAAACTGAAAATTCAACAAGATTTACCGTCAGAAGATGATGCTTTTGAGCGTGAGCGCTCTACCCGGAACAAACGTGGGAGGGTATTTTTTCGTGTGTTAGGAGAAGCTTCTGCAACTACTGAAAAGTAAAGAACATTATTTAATCTAAACATGTTTACCTCATTTTAACAATGACAATTTTCGCTCTCTTTACTTTCAATGACAATAAAAAGTGACTGTATACTCAGCTAAAAAGTTTCAATGTTGCACAGCGTGGTTTTATTTACTGAAAATAAAATGCGCATGTCTTCTTTCTTTGACTACGAGTACGCTCATCTTTGACTGTTTTATATATCCGTAGATACAAATTCTGTCGATAGCATTATATCGGACTTCGTGGATACCAGTGCTGGATGCTGCAAATTCTACTTTTTATCTACATCACGTACAGACTATTACTAAACAGTTGTATTCGTTGAGGATGCTGCATTGATAAACAAATGGAGACTAAATGTGCACAAATTTCTTGATTGAAAGTAAAATTATTTGTACTTAGATTATGATACTTTGCATACTTTCAGTCCACTCGATTAATATGAGTGTAATTTGACTAAGTACTGTTAACTCCTTGCAAAAAGGCGGTATATATACATACCATTTCAGATACTTCTCGAAACCTAGCAACACTACAGACACAAAATCAGCCTGGAGTGACTTCAAATAGCCATAATCCACTTCTCTTCAATGATCATCATTTCGTGCGAGTTTTCAATCGCCGATACGTGCAGAGAACTCAAAGACAGGTACCCAAATCAAACGAAATGTATGTTCTCTTATAGTGTAATGTTAAGGAACGCTACGAATATATAATATCTCAGCGCACAGGCTATGATGTCGAATGATGCACAACTGACCAGTTTCAGTTTTGTCATCATTCGAAAGATAGATCTTAGAGGAAGGGTACAATAGGTGCCTATCATTAGATATTAAATGTACCAGTCCGAATCTGACTGAGAAAATTTGTCAAACTGGTTATCCTCCGCTTTTCTTACGGCCTCAAATATGCTATCGTTTCAAGCCGTGTAGATATGTTACATGTAAGTAAACCATAAATGAAAAAACCCTGTTATCAGACTACGCTGATCGTGGGAAACGATTAGTGTAGCAGCGCGATTTGGTGCGCTACTTTTGAACCATTTTCTCTTCGCTGTGGCATTTTAGTCACTTTATAATACATTGTTTCTTTCCAATACACCACAGAATTCATAGATAACGGATACATATTATCCTCTCCAAAAATAAATTACAAACAAACACAACACTTCATTATCAACCTCTCAATACATTTAGGATTTGGAATCAAACTTAAAACAGCTAGATAATAATGAAACATCGCTCCCATTCAATGTACCTTGGTCTGATCACTTTGCCTTTACGAGAACTGGCATATAAAATGCATACGAGATGTACTCTTGTCAATACAATTCTACCATATCTCCAATATAGTCGAGCAGTATGCAGTAATGTTGTCTTGTGAGTCACACACTTTCAGAAACAAACACCGATCTAAGAGAACCTCTCATAAACGCATCGTACCACGGCATCTCTTCCATCAAACGCTGCTCTGTTACACCTCCGTAAATAAAGCAATCACTTTCACTATTCCACATATATTTTCCTACAAAAAAAGCATTTTCCTTCAGGTCACACCCATTTCTCACAACAAAATTCATTTTCTATTCCTTCACTACTTTTCACTGTCACGAAAATCACACACCCAGATTTTGACTAAGTTCTCAATCCAAAAGCATCCTTTCTACGAAAAGAGTCACCGCAGATCCACTATCACTTGTTCTTCCATTTCATTCAGCGCAAGATCTACACCATATTGACGCTCTAAGAATTGGATAAATCAGACATTCCAAAATTTGTTCCAGCAAAGCATCAGTCTTACTTTATTTCGACGCAACGCGTCCTCAATGAGTTGTGCTCCTTCGTCACCGATTCTGTTGTCGCAGAGGTTTAGTGTGGTGAGTGTCTGTAGGTGTGAGAGAGACTGAATACTTCACCTTCGGTGAAATGAGATCAACATTACCGTGTTCGTTCGCAATGCATCAGCAATGTGTTGTGCTCCTTTAGCACCGATTCCGTTACCGCTGAGATCTAGTGTGGTGAGTGTCTGTAGGCGCGAGGGAGACTGAGTACTTCACCTTCCAAGAAATGAGATCAATACTACCGTGTTCGTTCGCAAGGCATCCGCAATGTGTTGTGCCCCTTCAGCACCGATCTCGTTACAGCTGAGAGCTAGTGTGGTGAGTGTCTGTAGGTGTGAGAGAGACTGAGTACTCCACCTTCCGTAAAATAAGATTAACATTACCCTGTTCGTTCGCAACGCATCCGTAATGTGTTGTACTCCTTTAGCACCGATATGGTTATCGTCGAGCTCTAGTCTGGTGAGTGTCTGTAGGTGTGAGAGAGACTGAGTACTTCACCTTCCAAGAAATGAGATCAATACTACCGTGTTCGTTCGCAACGCATCCGCAATGTGTTGTGCCCCTTCAGCACCGATCTCGTTACAGCTGAGATCTAGTCTGTTGAGTGTCTGTAGGTGTGAGAGAGACTGAGTACTTCACCTTCCAAGAAATGAGATCAATACTATCGTGTTCGTTCGCAACGCATCCGCAATGAGTTGTGCTCCTTCGTCACCGATTCGGTTATAGCCGAGGTATAGAGTGGTGAGTGTCTGTAGGTGTGAGAAGGACTGAGTTCTTCACCTTCCGTGAAATGAGATCAGTATTACCGTGTTCGTTCGCAACGTATCCGCAATGTGTTGTGCCCCTTCAGCATCGATTCCGTTATACTCGAGATCAAGTGTGGTGAGTGTCTGTAGGTGTGAGAGGGGCTGAGTACTTCACCTTCCATGAAATGAGATCAGTATTACCGTGTTCGTTCGTAACGCATCCGTAATGTGTTGTGTTCCTTCAGCACCGATTCCGTTACAGCCGAGGTATAGTTCGATGAGTGTCTGTAGGTGTGAGAAGGACTGAGTTCTTCACCTTCCGTGAAATGACATCAGTATTACCGTATTCGTTCGCAGTGCATCCGCAATGTGTTGTGCTCCTTCAGCACCGATTCCGTTATAGCCGAGGTTTAGTGTGGTGAGTGTCTGTAGGTGTGAGAGGGGCTGAATACTTCACCTTCCATGAAATGACATCAGTATTACCGTATTCGTTCGCAGTGCATCCGCAATGTGTTGTGCTCCTTCAGCACCGATTCCGTTACAGCCGAGGTATAGTTCGATGAGTGTCTGTAGGTGTGAGAAGGACTGAGTTCTTCACCTTCCGGGAAATGAGATCAGTATTACCGTGTTCGTTCGTAACGCATCCGTAATGAGTTGTGCTCCTTCAGCACTGATTCCGTTATAGCCGAGATTTAGTGTGGTGAGTGTCTAGATTAAAGTAATATGTTATGAAAAGGACAACTAGTAAAGAGAACCGTTGATGACACTTCCGACTGTATATGTGTGATATGAAATAGTCTTTTGTCGGAACGATGTTTAGAGAGCAGTTGGATCTGTATGTTAGTTTTTTGGTGTGGATGATGATGGTAGGTGTTGCGCAGGACAGACTGCGTTCAGAGAAGAGGTACTGTGTTGGCAATGTAGATATGAGATTACAGCGAGCTGATCGAGTGGAATGAGTAAGATATAGCTATCAATAGTTATTGATTGTATTGAGACATCTCTTTTGAAGGCGCGCTCCAATAGTATCCATATCCTACTGTTGTGAAATTGAGAGATGGATTTGATGTATCCCTGCTTATAAGAAATATTGACATAGGTCTAGCAACTGTGCAGTGCAGCTTGCTTTAGTGGATGCACTTTTGGTGTCTAGTAGCTCAGGGTGCGAATGGGGACGCATAACTATGTATTTTGTTCGTTCATGATCGTGTATCGATCGAATGCATACTCAATATACTTAGAAGAATGACGAGAGAGTGGGGGAGTATTTGATTTCATATGACTTCGTACTGTGATAGTCCCATTCTATGAAATTGGTTGCTGATTATGAAATTTCTTTGCCTCTTCCTATGAGGAAATTCACGACATCAAATATCATTAAGCTTATGTGTAGCACAACCGACAAGAGTGGCAAAATGCCAAGCAAACTTACTCGATATCGCTCGTAAGTGCTCAGGATCTGATTGAGCCGTCGACAAATATTTTGCATTGAACAAAATAGCGTCTGCTCATTTTGATGGTCCATAATTCGATAAACAATTTCGACGGGTAATGTGGAAAATGTGTGCATGTTGTATTTCAATCGTGTAACAGACCGTACCGCGGAGACTGGAAGCGATGAAAAATGTTTGACTTTGTTCGTTATGCGTAGTAGCTCATGGTGGTGATGCATTTATATATATTTTTGACGAAAACAAATGACGTGTAACCATTTCAACAGTTACGAATTGTTGGCGTGCGCAGAAAGGTGGCGTTAGAATACGCATGCTCATTGAATTCTGTTTTGACATTTAAAATAGACGTTTCAAGAATTAAAAGTAGAAAATCTTTTATGGCTTTGACTCCTTTGCAAGCCGATTCGATTTGATTGAAAAGAAATTGACATCTCTAAATTAATTTTTTTAGCTGAAAAGTATAGTGGAAGATAAAAGAACTCTACAGCTCACATTAGAGATTTATTTTTATGATGTAAATTTTGTTTTCAAGCACGCTAAATGCTAACCAGTCAGTTTTCACTGATTGATTTGCACCATTTGACATTTTTCAGTAAAAAAACACATGACTGTAAAAAGTTTCACGTTAGATTGCTGAGAGCTTCATGCAGCATCTCTCCGCGTGTTCGTTTCATTCTTCCCAAGTCCTATTCGATGATAGATAAAAGAAACAAGAAAAAATCATTGTTTGTCAATCTGAAAAACCAGTCACATGATCTTTTATTTCTTTTTGAAGCCACAAAATATAAAATTGGGCTACGATTTACCGCAGGAGTGACATTAACTTGAACACCTAAAGTTAAGTGGGATTGTCACTCCTAAAAACAATATATATCTGTTTTTTGTGCTGAAGTGTGAGTTAGAACACTCAGTATCGTTTACATAAATAGAATGTTAACTCTGTCACCGAGGTGCTCTAACAGTTTGTTGTGAATTCATTTTTGATGAATCAATTACCTCATGGCATTTTAGTAAATAAGAAAACGTGGAAAACCTTCGAAAAAACAAACGTTATCGATTCTCTTCGGAAACAAGGCGTTGAGCTTATTGGAAAAGTTAAGCCGCTTTTCGATATGCCCAAACAGATAGCTTTAAAACAATCATCAAATCTACAAGAACGCTGTAATATCTTACTTTAAAACACCCGTAATTCTGTTAACAGATAACTGCGGATTAGTTTCTTACAATACAATAACCATGACATACATATGCGAGTATTTACAACGAAGAGCAAAAGCAATACCCGATTTATTATTTGGCTGCGGAGGATAGTATTTAGTGTAACGCATGGTATATGTTATATCGTTCCATAGGATTTTACTCTGTGCTTTATTCTGCAATCAAATATGAAATGAATGGAACCACATTGTTCTAGTTCTTCAGCATCGGTTTTCTTTTGCTGAAATACATATTACTCATATAATTCGCCTGAAAATCTATTTTATTGCTTAATTGATGCGCATTCATATTCTCTCTTACTAGAATTATTTTCCACGATTTGATTCCGCTGATAACAACAAGTAACGCTCGTCATTAGACTCGCTCAGCTCTTTGTCGTAGAAATATTGATTTCAGATGTCATAGTTTTAATGCATTATTGTACCCTCTACGGAAAGGAGGGTAATGCATCGAGCTGATATCACTGGAAAAACGAGTTGATGTGTGTTCGTTCGTTCATTTTGTCTTAAAATATTACCTAACACTACTTGAAAGTGGCAAGGGTTGACCGAAGGGTTATCGGGATCGAGGATCACGAGTCCGGTGTTAGTTTTTTCATGAACACTTTCTCGCCCGTTTTTTTGCGACAAAGGATCAATTTTTTAGACGATAATGTTTTAAGCGACAATATGTAGAGCAAAATGTAATAGCTGACTGACATCCGATCGCTGGATCTGCATAGTCATCAGCATATTAATGAGATCACACACTTTTATGAACAGCTATACTATACGAATATCATCCGATACCAGTCATTCAAAATAATGTTCCGCTTGCCAGGTGTTGTCTTCGACAGTCACAGTAGCACAAAGAGGGTGACTTTAAAGAAGGAATAAAAGAGAATGAATTGATTAGTTCCAAAAGTGGCTCTAGACTAAATGGAAGAGTGAAAATGTACACGGAACGGCTAGCCGTGAGTGGCCGACCGACTATATGATTCTTTTGAAAATTAGTTGTAAAGTGTGATTTATAAGACTGTCGCATAGTGTCCATAATTTTTCTAAGGTGTATATATATACTAGAGGGAGTACCCGCTGCAAATAAGAAATATCTATGTCGAACATCTCACGTGTTGAAGAGCTATAACAGGTAGAAAATCAGTAGAATTCAAATTTCTACGCTTCCACTCCTTATTTTTCCGCCATGCATCGCATAAAATGGTAGTTTCGGCCACATCTTTTTATGAAAGAGTTAACAAAGCTAATTTCTGCCTCAGAAATTATGAAAATTTCCTCTTTCTCACTCTCACGTCATTTCATAACTTATATCCTTCGAATTCACCCACCCTCAACATTTATCTGAAGCTTTTGAGATCCTGCAACGCTATTGGTGAGTTTCGCAGATTATCTGTAGCATTCACCGAACTATCGTAGGCGTAGAGAACACGTGGATTGTTGTCTTTGACCGCTCAGACGACTTTTGCTATCAATTTTCTCAATTTAGGAAATCTCGCAATCCTGTTGGTCAGTTTCGTAGATTGCCTGTAGGAAATGCCTCGTTTATTTGTTTTCGAAAAAAACTAGATGTTGACCTTTCTCTGGACTCATGGAAGCATCGTGGAAAGTTTCACACCGATAGCTATTGCAGGTACTGAATCCATAGCGAAAAAACAGACAAACTTTCTTCTGTATATATATAATATAGAAGAGGAAGATAGATATAACGTCTTTTCGAGCTTCGAGAAAAAACAATGTCGATCATCAACTTATTCAGCTAAAAATGAAAATAAAAGATATATTGTAGGCCACGAAGTTGTGAAGAATTTCGGCACCCTTGCTCGAGACGGACTCAACAAGAACAAGGTACTTTATAATATGGACATATCATTAGACACTTATTAGGTACCGACGGCTAGCGGTTAGTGGTCGACCGGAGAGAGGCCGGCAAACGACTAGGCGTTATAATTTCCGAAGATTTCAGGAAGCGAAATTCGTCTACGTAAAATATTCTGACAGACTCTCAAATGATCAGATCGTTCAACTGAAATAGCTTTTTTCTGTATTCCGACGAATATTAGCGCTCTAATACTATCCTTTCAGTAGAGGGTTTAGCGGCTACTAGGCCACGTTACTTCAAAGTTTGTTTATGAAGATCAATAATTAACTATTAGATCACCAGAGATTGGCGAAAATATTTTATTCACTATACTAATACACTTGACTATATCCGATATCATATGGTTATACATGTTTTTTCCGAAAATGGGTACCCTTTGTTTCAAATTTTGTTTTGTAATTCTCAAAAAACTAACATCAGAATCGAGTTCATCGACCTAAAAAACCCTTTGGTCAGTTTTTAGAAAAAAACATTTTTGCCCGTAAAAAAGTGGTCTCTTGTCTAAAAAAAAAATTCGAAGAGCGAGCATCAGATTCGACGTCTCCGCAATGAAGTACGTCTGAAAATATCTTTTTCAAAAAATCGATTTTCGATGTTTTTTTGACCCTACAGACATACAAGCAAGCAAACAATTTATGTTTCTAAGACTCTTCTCTACGAGAAAGAGAACATGAAATCTTTACCGGATTCAACTTATTGAACACCCTTCGCTCATATTACATCGTTCAGTTACACAATGCTTATTTACATCAAAACTTTGCTCGTATGTGTACTGAAATTCCGCAGTATCTTTTTTGAACTTTCACAGAACGACCACTATCAAAGGATTTTCTCGACTATCCTTTCCTCATGAAATATAATCATACCAAACAAAATCATGCCATCGCTACTGCTCGGTCGTAACTGAACTTCTCTTCTTCGAATGTTTATTTTTTACTGTGTTCCAAAAAGAAAAAGTGCATTTATTTCAATGGTCTCAAACTGAATCGTAGTTCCTGTTCCTTATTGCCTATATGATACTACAGATATGTTTTTATCATAGGACAGTCTGTTTTTCTATTCATTATTATCATTTGAAGTAAAAACAAACACCAAATCAAAAAAAAAAGAAACACGAGACTGGTTCGTGTTGTCGGTTCTTTTCAGCTCTCTCGTATTTTATCATTTACACAAGCACACTGTATTTGAAATAAATATAGCTATAGCACAGAAGAAATGAGTTCTGCTTATTGAGCAAGATGCCATGAACCAAAGAGCAGATGGTTAGAACGTTTCTTAAACAATCGCCAGTAGAATTTAAATAAATTCGAATTGAAAAAACCGATTAATAAAAGAAGAATGAAGTAAAACAGTAAATAAAGGTTGTAACGATGAGTGGAGAAGAATGTTCGTAGACGAGATCTTGCCACTTGATCTAATCTACAAATTCAAAACAAACATTCATCTATACCGAAATCAAAGCATCATTGCTCTTACTGCATTAGATCATTTGGCTCTGAATAAATGAGAACGTATTTCACTCGCACAAGTTCGTTGGATGTTACTACAACATATTTCTCAGGTACAGCACCAGCCTGTGTATCACTAACAATTCTTCGATCTTGATTGTTTCCCGTTCCATCTAAGATCAGACTTATAGTATGATGCAAAATGCAGGCTGCTTCTTACTTTCGATTGCACATTTCACATGATCTGGATGATCAATAATTTCACATAATAAGAGGCAGCTTACTCTTTTCCCTAAAAGGCTATTTGCCCAAACACTAGCAAATGGTGAATAATGTAAAGAAACGGACGGTTCTAGCGAGAAATACGTTCCCGAACCGAATAATGACAGTTTATTCATATGTCCGAGAAAGCCAATATGAAGAATTGAGTGAAGATTATCCAAACGTGTGCCATGATAAGCATAAAATGTTTTATAGCGATTATTTCCCGTTAAATCATGAAACCGTTCGTTTCGAACTTGATTATAATTGATTTCGAATGCAAAATCCGGTTTTGGGACTGACAGTTGATGTTT